AACCCTGCGAGTCGAGTGCCTTTTCCTTTGCCGAGTTTATCGAACCTGAAAACGAGCCATACGAGCCTCCTACAAGTGCAAGGAAAAGTACAAGAGAAGAAGGTTTTATGTGCCACTTAGAAATGTTTTTCTTGCGAAGAAAACTTAAGAAAACAAAGGCGGATGTTCAATTACAGTTGTGCAGCACTAACTTGCTTGCAAGACTAGAGTTTTGCTGGCCAAAAAGAGCACAAAATGGGAACAATCTTAATTTGGCGCTTCTTCCATTCATCGTGTGCTCCAAAACTGTTCTGATTGCTCAGGTTTCCTGCACAGATTGAATGAATGTGCCGCTTGCCGTCTTACAACACTGTAAACAGCAGCAACACACACTTTTACAGCACTGCCCCTGTTAAAGGAGTTACCTGAGTTATTAAGGAGCCAAATTTAATAATAAAGTCCAAGCCAAAAACATAATCACAATGCCAATGAATCACAAAGCATCTTCTGCTCGCACGCTCTTGTTCTGATTGACAAACTCCTCGATCCAACGATTCCACTTGCAGCGCCACTGAAAGATGGCCGCGGTGCGCTCCTCGCAGTTCAGGGAGCTGTACAGAAAGGAGTTGAGAGCCAGCTGCTTTAGTAGCCGCAGATTGCCCTGCCCACTGACAATGCCCACAAAGGCCACGTAAAAGTCATCGGTGAGCGGAGCGGCGTTCCAGAAATGCGGATAGTCCGAGCCCAAGACAATGGGATAGCCGGCAGCCAGCAGATACGCAGCGGGATGCTGGCTGAAATCCTGGACATACTGCAAGTAATGATTGGACAGTGGACACACCTCCACGGCCACCTGCATGTGGCGCATGGTGCGCAGGATGTCCGGATGGAGGGGCAGATTGAGGGCACCGCCGATCCGCTTGCTGCCCAGCAGTACGGCATCGATGAGATTCGCGTGTGGCTTGGCCATGTTCGGGCATCGGGATTCGCCCGCCTGGAAGTAGAAATCAATTTCCTCGCCCAAGTGCAGCAGCTGTGTGGCTTCGACCAGTCCTGGCAGCTGGCACTCGTCCCCAAAGGTGTTCAGATCGAGACCAGCAAAGAGATTGGGGAAATGGCTCTAATGGGGGGACTAGGAGTTAGAGGTTGCAAATTCAAGCACTGGAGAGAGTAACGGACCTTCAGCAGTCGCGCATTTTCCACATACTGATCCATGTGGCTGTCGTTTGAGTCTCGGGCTGGCGTATAAATCAGTTTGACGCCAATAAAATCGGGATACGTGGAGCGGAACAACTTGGTAATGGTGACGATCGAATTGACAGTGTCCAAAATGGTAAAGTTGGTGCCCTTCAGATCATACAGCTGTGTGGGAAGGCAGTGTTAAGGATAACTGCCAGCAAGCGGCTGTTGACTCACAAGTGGCAGAGAAGACCTCAGCTCCACATACTGCACGCCATCCCTGTAGAAATCCTCGAGCATGCGGAACAAAAAGTCCGACCAAAGATTTTGATACGTGACCAATCCATGGATGAGGCGATGGCTGCGTCGCATGTGCCGTGCCAGCTCTGCGGTGTCCTTGTAGCCGCCCTCCTGGAGCACTAGACCCTCGCGGATCTGCTTCTCGTAGCGTCCGCGCCACTCGAACGTGTGAAAGTTGCTCATCAGCATCCAGATGCACTCGTAGTCCTCCGACGGTGCAATGTGTGGAAACGCCGAGGAGAAGCGAAAGTTCTCGAAAACCTGATTCATGCCCACGCAAACCCACAGATCGTCGCGATACGTGAGCTCGATGAGGATGTCCAGCTTCATCATGCCAGCATCGTGGATGTGCAGCAGACCGCCCTTGGGCATGCTCTTCAGCATTCCATACAGATCCGTTTCGCTGATCTTGTGGTGCTTGAGGAACTGTGGTGTGTTGGAGGAGTAATTCACCCACAGGCGGTGCACCTCCTGGTCCACCTGCTTCGCCAGCCGCTCACTGGCCACCTCCTCGAGGGCGCTCAGTTCCAGCTTGCCGCCCGCCCGTTGCAGCTGCTCCCTTGCCACAATCGCGTGATGCTTCCGCGCTTGCAGCTCCTCGGGTGTGGCTTGGAAATCTTTGAAGGGCGCCAGCCAGAGCATTGCGGCCACCACCATCATGGAGAATGTGGCAAACAGCGCCAACGAAATGGCTACATTGAGGCAAACGGTGTCGTACTTGACTGCATTGCGCAGCCTCGGGTTGCCCTGTTGCAAGTTGCCGACCATGTCCAGGCGAATCATTCGACCCGCTGGCATTGGGGCACGATGCTCGGCATTCTGCGCTAACCCTCTGCTGGCCATTGTCAAATAATTTTCAAATGTTAAATTTTGTTTTTGTGTTTGCTTCGAAAGGGTTTAATCCAAAATGAATAATATCTGCTGGTATCTGGGCTCCACTGACTCGCAAATCAGCGCACACTTGGCAGAAACGAAAGGGGGAAAGGGAAGGGGAAGGTGCTCTTATCAGACAGCTACTTGTTTACGATGCACAGATAATCGCTGCTGACAGCCAGCCAATGTGATTTTTGATTCGAAATAGTTGGACCCTGACTCCTACGCCTCCCGCACAGCGTTGACGGTGGGACACATGTGCAGTTATCAGAGAGGGGTGGAGAGAGAGAGGGTGTTAAAAATAGCCCAAGACATGGCTCTCTCTCTCTCTCTCTCTGGAAGCAACACAGGAAGAGAGACAGCGAAATGCAGAGAGCAGGCAGAGCGACTGTGTGTGTGTGTGTGTGTGGATAATGTAAACCCCTGATATCGGCTTTGTCAGAGACGGGGTTGCACTTACGACAAAGTATGTTCGAATCGGAGACGCCACCACCACCACGGGCAGGCGATACGGAGTGGCATGGCACGCAGCGGGCGGTGAACAGTGGTGCAAGGGTGGAAATTACTTGGAAAATAATAATTAAGGGCAATAAATGCATTAAATAATCATTTTTGGAGCTGCATTTTGCCTTTCAAACAATTAAAATATATAAAAAAAGCGCACAAAACAACCAATACGTGCCACTGTGCCATCTGCTTGCCACAAGATCTGCACAATCACGAGAGGGAAGTGGAAAAGTGCAGAGTGGAAAAGTGGAAAAGTGGATGATGCCATGTTCCATGGACATCCATGTGTGTGCGGCATGTTGCTGTATCTGTTGGTGGTGTCGGTGTCAGTTTCGCCTTGCCTTGCCTCGCACGCACTGCAACACAGCTGAGGGCGACACTGATTCGCGACAAGGGTGGCAGCCACAGACGCAGACCTGACACGCGCTTCCGCCCGCTCCTCGCAGTGCGCAGAGACGACTCAGCGAGGCAAGTAGCAGCAGAACAGCAGCAGCAGCATGCGACTGAGAAGCAGCAGAACGCTAGAGGTGCAGCCAAGAGGACTAAGAGGAGATTGCACCACACTGACCGAACTCAACGACGACTGCCTGCTGCTGATATGCGAGCGGCTGTCGATGGGCGACCAATGGAGTCTCCTCCAACTGCAGGACGAGCGACTGGCCGCACTGGTGCTGCGTATCTGGAGGCGCAAATATGCCCAGCACTTTGACTGGGCCCAGGAGCAGCAATTAAGGCATCTAAGCGCCAAGGAGCAGTGTCAACTGCTGCAGCTGTTGAGTGCCAGGACGCGGGCGCTGCTCAATCTGAATGGCAGCAGCGATGGCTGTCGGCAGTGGCTTAAACGGAAACGGAAGTGCACGGAACGACTGCAGCGGCTGAGCTTTGTGGAGAGCGGCGCCTGGCTGCTGCATCGCCTGCCCGCTGTGTGCCCCAATTTGGTGCAACTGCAGCTGGGCGGGGGCGAGGGCGTGACACCTGAGGATCTTCACTTGCTCTTTGGACAGCTGCCGCACCTGCGGGTGTTTGAGCTGCAGCCGGGTTGGAGCTGCCCCCGACCCTGGACGGGCATCAAGTATGGCGAAGCATTGGAATCCCTGAAGTTGCCTGCGTGTCTGGTGCGTGCCACGGCCATGGAGATATTTCGACTGCCACGATTGCGCCGCTTGGCGGGTTTCCTCTGCCACAAGCACACGGATGATGACAAAGCAAATGCAGCAAGCGCCACCATCTCATCCTGCCTCAAGGCATTACAGGACATGAGCGGCGGACCTGCTGCCTGTCAAATTGTGGGACTCCATTTGCAGTGTCAACTCGATGCGAGCCTTCTGCGTCTCTTGGCGGAGTCGGGCCCGGGGGACACCTTCCGTCTGCGTCGCTTTGCTTGGCACTCGCAGCTGACGGTGCACTATGATGTTGCGGATGGTAGCATCAAGTGGCTGCCCCAGCAGCCGCGAGTGGCGCACGCCCTGCTCCCCTTTCTCGCCAACCAAGCGCAGAGTTTGCGTGAATTGGATTTCACGCGTAATGTGCATGCCACGCCCACATTTCTGTCACTGCTGCGGGAGGGGGGTAGTGTCTGCCGTGAGGTTTCCATTTGGCATGATGCCTGCCCCAGGATGACAGCAACACGGACACCGCACACGGATACGGATACGGATACGGATAGAGATACAAGAGCAGATGAGGATGCGGATGCGGATGCGGATGCGGATGGAGAGCAGACAAACGATTTGGCCTTTGTCGCGCTGGAAGTGCAGCATTTGTCTAATGAACAACGGAAGCGGACACCGGATGGGTGTCACAGATGAGTCAGAGATGAGCCAGAGGATGGCTAAGGCTAGCAAATTGAATGGGAATCTATTTCCAGGGTGCTACATCCCGTTGGAGCGCATTTGATGTAAGGTAATCCAGCAAAAATGTCGAATAGTTGATGCAATAATCAAAATTAGTGCCATTAAATCGTGTTTATATTTTTAAATAAATTCCTATAACTTCTTTGGAATAATTATAATAATATTGAGAGTAAAAATTGGCAATTAAAGAATAATCTTAGGAGCATTTTGTATAAGATAAGAGCTGAACTTAAGCTTGGATTTTTATGTCTGTATAAACAACAATTGGACAACAAAAATTCTAAATAAAATTCCCAGTAATTATTGATAAAATATTTATTTTGCTGCCGCACACACCCGCTACATGGTATAATTTTGGAATCTTTAAACAAAGCTCCAAGAAGAATTCTCTCAAGCTTACCTATGTGTAAGTAGAGGAACCTCTGATGAGGATGATTCAAGGTTTATACTATCAGAAACTGCTGGAAAATCTGTGCTGCTGCTTTCTGGTGAACGAACAGAAACTAAACGAGAAAAACAAGAAGAACTGCCTTAACCACTGCGAGTGTTCCATCGAAAAGGCAGACAAAAATCGATCCTCAATGCGCTCTAACTCGCAGCCCTCTCGTGGACCTTCGAATGCAGAGGGCGGCGGCTCCACCCGGCCAAGAGTGAGTCTAAGTCAAACGCTGCCTAAACGTGCTCCGATCTAAACTTTCCTAACCAAAGACCTGCAGCAGCAATGGGCCACGATGGATTGCGTTGGACACGTCACAGAGACCCAAGTGCCATGTCAATCGAAAAGAGGACCAAGCATTGGACAGTCGACCCCGTTTTGTGCAGGCCGTGGAGTCGTTGAGTTTCGAGATACAAAGAACAACAAGAGTGGCGCGTTTACCACTGACACAGCAGCATCAGTCGCAGGTGCCCATGGAGCCTAGTGTAAGTAGATACAACATTTGAGGAGGATTAGTCTAGAATTACTCTTTGATAATCCTTTACAAGTGTCCGAGCACTTGCCAGGCCTATCCGATGAGCGAAAGAGAGTCATTGCCGAACAGCACCCTTCAGAGTACACAACCCAATCGCACAACGAACGAGAGTTCGGGGCTCGGAACGAACTATGGTGAGTGGCAGCAGAGGCAACAACAACCGCTACCGCCTCAGGCAAAACCAGCTCCGGCACATTTTTCCTTGTACAACGATGAATGCTACAGCAGATTTGTGAGTGTCAAAAAAACTGCCACAAACCTGCAAAAATTCTGTAAAATTTACGAATTATCTACGCAATAGGAACCCGAACTCAATAGCACAAAGCTGGATCCTGGCGATTTCCAGGAAGACTGTAGGGCAGAGTGCAATGGCAACCAGCCGGCTAGGTACTCAGAGTCCTTGGGAGCTACGCCTCAGCAGCAAAAGCAGCAGCAGGCAGATACCAGCAACAGATTAGTAAGCTTGTGAGAGTGTGGAAGCTGCAGATGATATATTTTGATTTATCCCCATAGAAACCTAATCCTAATGCGTCGATGATGGGTCCAGTGGATTGCCAGAACCGCTGTAAGCCACAGTGCAATCAAGAGCTCTGTAGTCGCCCGCAGAAGCCAAAGCCAATCTGCGGTGCAGATTCTTTTGGTCCTCCACAGCAACAGCAGCAGCAGCAGCAGCAGCAGCAGCAGCAACAGCAGCAACAGCAGCAGAGGTTGCAACAGGAACAGCTGCAGCAACAAGAACTGGAGGCAGAATATGCCTTGCTGCACAACGAAGAGACCAGCGACACCTACGTAAGTCTGAACTCTGGAGACTGCGAATCCTTCGAAGATTTAGCAAACTATCTTCCTAAAGGACCTCGACTTGAAGAGCACAAAGTTCGGTACTGACAATTGTCGTGACGACTGTGGGGCAGAGTGCAGCCCTCCGCAGACAGCCTACGCCCTGATGCACAACGATGAGACCAGCGACACATTTGTAAGTGTGAAAGTTGCTAAAGATATGATTAATTTGACGAATTTTCTGCCGATAGGAACCTGTGCTCCATAGCTCGATACTTCATGTGGAGCGCTGTGAGCCACAATGCAATCGAGTGCTCTGTACGCGTCCACAGCAGCCACAGGCGGTGCGGGGTGCAAAGTGTTTTGGTCCTCCTCCTCCGCAACGGCAACAAGAGCCGCAGAGGCACATGAAACAGCTGGTGGGAAATTATCCCTTGAGTCACAACGATGAAGGCAGCGACAGATACGTAAGTGTACAGTGTACAACTTTTCATACATTTGATCAATTGTAATTGTATTTCCATAAAAGCCTGATCGCAGTACAGCTCCCTGTATGGCAGAGTGCTCTCGAAACACGATGCACCAGTCGACACGGTGTCCAGAGAGTTTTAAGCCTCCGCCGCAGCAGCAGCAGCAGCCCGATCCTGCGAATTGCGTGGACACCTGCTGGGGAGAGTGCAGTCAAAATAACATAAACCAGTCGACACGACAGGCAGAATCTTTAAGCTCCCGGCAGCAGCAGCAAAAGTCGGTAAATTATTCCTTGCTGCACAGCCAAGACAACATTGAAACATTTGTGAGTATAAAGTGTGGCAGCTGCTGAAGTTTTCAACAATTGTATGCCCATAGAAGCCAAAGCTCTGTAGCACGATGGTTGCTGCGGAGGATGCCGAGGAAACCTGTGTGCCAACTTGCACGGGAAGCTGTACCCTCTTGCCGCCGTCAAAGCCACCCGCGATGAGGAGTCCAGCGGCTGTTGATCAAAAGGTGAGTGCTGCAGATGGTGCCTTTTCCTTCTTATACCAAAGATTTTCCCACTAAGTCCACGCAAGCTTCGGCGGAGTATCCGCGTTGCGCGCAGGTTGTGAGCTGTGGCACCTCCACACATATTAATATAAGCTGTCAGCAACAGTCAACGTCCACGAATCATCCTATTTACGGCCACCAATCGCAGCAGACTAGCCAGCATGTAAGTGAGAGGTTTTATGGCGATTTAGGAGCTGCTAACCGAAGCTTCTTCCCTTCTTTGCTCACAGTATCAGCGGCCACTATCGCATGAGAGGTCTCAAGCGCAGCAGAGTCGAAATGTAAGCAGGGAAAAACCTCTCCAAGTGCAGATTACATCTAAATACTTAATGAAACCACTCCAAACAGCAGCCGGAGATGCAACTCAGAGACGGTACACCTATGAGCCAGCCAGCGTATTCCCAGTCGCAGCAAAGGAATCAAACCCAGAGGCCACAGCATGTAAGTGCGCAGAATAATTGTTTCACAGATAAAAATTAACTATGAGAAACCCCTAGCCTGATGAAATCTTACAGGATGTAAAACCTCTGTATCCGGCATCTCAGGACCCAAGCAGTTGCAGGAACGAAGCTTGTCCCGTGAATCGGATGGGCAACACTCCCGAAGATCAGCGTAGCATGAGCCAGAGGGCAGCCTGTTGTCAGAATCAAATGTGTCCCATGAATCAGAGGTCAACCTGTTGTAAGAACGAAATGTGTCCCATAAATCATAGTACACCAAATCAGAATGTGACGCCTGAAGATCAGCGTAGCATGAGCCAGAGAGCAGCCTGTTGTCAGAATCAAATGTGTCCCATGAATCATAGTACACCAAATCAGAATGTGACACCTGAAGATCAGCGCAGCATGAACCAGAGGCCAACCTGTTGTCAGAACCAAATGTGTCCCATGAATCAGAGGTCAACCTGTTGTAAGAACGAAATGTGTCCCATGAATCATAGTACACCAAATCAGAATGTGCAACCTGAAGATCAGCGCAGCATGAACCAGAGGCCAACCTGTTGTCAGAACCAAATGTGTCCCATGAACCAGAGAGCATCCTGTTGTCAGAACGAAGATTGCCCCGCAAATGCAAGTTCACTTTATCAGAGCCTTGCATCAGATTCCTTGGATCAAGAGTTTAGCTGTCCAGCCAGTGGTCGGGCAAATCTGAGCATGCCACAGGCGCACAGTACCCCATGCAAAGGCACAGCACCCCAAGGCAGTGGTCCCTCCGGCAAATCCCAAGCCTCATATGCAGCTCAGTACAACCGGCATGGTGGTGCCAACACGAGTCTGCCATCGCAGAGTGTTACGTACGGCGGACATTCTGACAAATACAATGCAGATGCAACAATAACACTGCGATTCGGTGGTGCAGCCAGCGATCAGAGCAACATGGCAAAACCAGTGCAATATGGCGGTCAGGCGCCTTCCATGGACTTTACCTATCCACTCGATGCTAGTTCTTCGGAAGTAAGTTATTTCTGTATTTCTGATTTGCCTTCAATTTAATGCGAGATTGACTTTTCCAGGGGACTTTCATGTGCCAACCCAGTGCAGCAGACGAACGGCTTGCCCAGCGCACCAGGGACTTGTACTTTAATTCGATGGTGAAGGAGAGCTGCTGCAATGATGTCATACAGCGGACCCTAAATGGTCGCGAGAACTTCAACGATCGTTCGTATGGGATTGCGTTCGCTGGTCTGCTGCCGCAGAAGCTGGGCCTAGTCGATCCCCTGACCCTGCTGGAGGCCATCAAAATGCGCATCGAGTATGAGCGCGGGGAGATACGCAAGAACTATGGCAGTGAGGCAGATTTCAGCCAAAGTCGGCCAGCCTGCCAGCGGCCAGTGATCTACAACGAAGACATTGACCAGCACTTTATGTCCAAGAACCAATCCGAAGTCAATCAGAGTTTGTGCGCCTACTTGAAGGCCGAGAACGAGTATCGCAATACGCACTCGGATTTGGTGAGTGTTCAAAGTGAAGTAATCAAAATTACATGGAAATTATTTATCAAACCCCCCACCACAGAATGACACAGATTTTAGTGCAAATGTAAATTCATTCCAGACAAGATTCTTTAATGACAGCATTCGTATGAATATTTATTCGGCCACAACCGAACCAAATGATTGAAGCCAACTTAACCCATCAGAACAGAATCTGTTCTCAATGTTGTGTACATTCATTCATTTAACTTATCAGAGAACCAAATGACTTAATGTATTGCCGCATCGCGGAGGTATTTTAATTCGATTGCGAAAAATTCACCCCCACAATCTATCCTTTATCGGTTAGAGCCATTGAGCTAAACCCATTTCCAATATATATTGTATGCATGTGTCAGGCTTATGGGCCCCATAAAATAAACACGTTTGATCGATAAGTACATCTAAAAGTCACCACATCATCCTCTTTTGCCCATGCGTCAGAACCTTCCGAAATATATGTATTTTTATTACCACCCTATTTATGGACTTCTGACCAATTAAGTAAGCAAATCCAAGTCATAAATAAAATATTTCGTAATTTTTCAATTAATTTGTTACCAATTTTTATATAGGAAAGTTGGCTCTTAGTTTTGGAATCGCCTGTTGAAAGAAAGGCAAATATTTAGCCAAACATAGCCATGTGGGGTGGCCACAAATAGAATTCAGTGCGGAATCAATAAACAAACAAATGTGTTGTGTGTTCTGTCTTATTTTGTGAATAGATTTTAGGCTATTAGAGTTCAAGGCTATGTTGGATATGGCATGTGTAGCAAAATCACTAGAGAATTTATGGGGATAACGAGAGTTCTTATTTATGGAACTCTTCTCAGAAAAAAGATTGAATAGCTGCCCGTTATGATAGCGGATGGTTGGATCGGAAATGCTGCCTTGCCCTCTCTGCTTTGCTACATCCTCGGGATGGTTACGAAACTGGAACAAGCAGCGTGAGAGCATAATTCTATGTACGACATATCTTTTCTTAAGAGAGAACTGTTGTTATTTAAGAGAACAAAGATAACTGAAATCAGCTGTCGGGCGGCCACCAGTCACTCAATTGTTCAAACAAAAACCCGCACGCTGCTCTCTCCGTCTCTTCTCCAATCAACGGGCGAACTCTTCAACCAATTTGGGCATACAAAAAAGTGATTTAAATTTCTACCTTAGTAAGTATGCTTGTATGTAAGTTTGTGTGGCTAACTAAATATTATTCACAAATTGGCTATTAATTTGAAATGGCAGCTGGTTAGCTCTTCTTTTTGTTGCTGTTACCCTCAATGGGGTCTTACTGGGATTTACTTTACACTGGTATGAGGGTGAGGGGAATATTCATAAATAAATATGTATTCTGCTGAATATGCATAAATGAATCAATTATGCGACTTTTACTACTACCTCGCCCTTTCTGTTTATGTTAAACAGCACTTAATTCGTTAAACCAATTTGTTTGTAGTTGTACTTAATTAGCATTATTTAATTGTCTCCTTTTTCATGACATTATCCGGTTGAGAACACAAATGTATGTATTTTTAAGCGGCTCATTGAATACAGAAATATTTTTTTAATTTGTTATGTTTTCTGAACGAAACAAAACTTTACCACAAAATAAAGTCACACCACAAAGTTCAACAGCTTTTGCTCCGAGTAATTTTCTGACCGCGATCGCGATCGACAAGGCAGACGTCAGCCCACAGACTGATCCCAAGGAACCGGAGGCCGCCTTTCTTTACTGCAAGGCCAGACAGCGATGTCGGCGTCGGAGTCGACGTCAGCGTCAGCGTCAGCGTTGGACTTCCTCCCATTCGGTGCCTGAATGGCTCACCCATAGTGGCAGTAAACAGTTTTCTTACCCTGTGCATGTTCTGGCTGGGGGTATATTTTATAAGTTAGTTTTGTTCCAGAAATTAAATGCCAAAATGAGAGAGCTTAAAGTAAATTGTATTCATGCTGTTTTAGACATTATGCATTGATCTACAAAAATTCATAGAAATCACAGGGATAGGCTACAAGAAGGTATAATGCAAGTTCACATCTACAGGGTATCAACTAGTCGAAGTGTTAACTGTAGCCCCGCTATTTGTAATTTCGTTCTTCATGCATTATCAGAGACACAAAGATAAAGTGAAGAAAGAAAGAAGGAGCGACAAAAGCCGCAAACTTTAGGCAAACATGAACAGACATGTCAAGCATGCACTGCGCAGCCAACTAGAGACGGATACAGCAAGCACAAACGAGAGAGAGAGAGCCCGTTTAAGAGAGAGTGTGGCTTGTCACTTTTACTTTTTGCTGCCCACTGGCTGTGCTCCCCAATGCGCGGTCACCGGCGTGCGCTCTACCCAATTTTCGTGTCAAGCTTTGACGATTTTTTGTATGGTTTCCCATAAGCAGCACACGCCAGCGGAAACGTAATTTGAATCATCAGATCAAATAAATCAAGATTTAGCTTTACATTATGATTAATTAAACAAGATTCATTCTTAAATTATTTCTTCGCTTCTCTTTGATTTTATACGAAAGGAATCCTAATAAATTTGTAGCACATTTTCTTTGAACACATCTTCAACAATTTTTACTGCTGTTTTTGCAACAATTCTTGCCAAAAATACGTGATTATTCAATCAGAAAATTGTTGCCTCCTTTTTTATAAACAATATTCGATTGAGGAATGAATGTGAAGAAGAATTATAAATAAAGTGGACCACCCAGCAAGCGCCAAACAAAAACAATTGAATATTTCACAAAAACAACACTGCTAGGGATAAATGGGAAAAGAAATAACATTTTATTGATATTTTGTCATAGAAAAAATGGGAATATTTATTTGGAAAAAGTACCATAGTACCAAGTAAATTGCGATCAAAGAATATCTGAATTTAATTGGAAGAGTACTCTAAAATAAAGTCTGAGTTCTCTCAGCGCACATTGGCAGCTCCCATAAAGTTCGTAAAGAATTCAATTTTTAACCGAAATGTTTTAGTAATTTTAGAACATACTATTTTGGTGTCATGGCCGCAGATTTTAAACGTTTCCAACAGCAGTCGGCAGTTTAAGACAATATTTTGCTTACAATAAAAATTCTCTGAATTGCATTGTTTCAAAATTAATGGCCTTGCCATAAAAATGTTACAGACTGCACCAGACTTATATACGGATGTCTATTTTTGGTTGGGGGAAGTGCTGTAATATGCATAAAGAGTAAAAGCTAGTAAAATGTAGTAATAGCAGACAATCATAGGTAGAGCCACACACAGTGGGGCAGAGATAAAGAGGCAGACAAGCAGCGTGCGAATACATGGACTGAGGACAGGACTAAGGACCGAGAGACCGAGAGAGAATCATAAATAAATTCATAACTGCATCCTATGCAAATTTGAAGGGCCAAAATGCTGCTGCAATATGCAGGGGAAGCGGATACCGGATCGTAAGCAATGTCTAAGCAAATATATGAGTGCCTTTATGGTTATGTTCTAGAGTGTCTATGTGCCTGTGTGTGTGTGGGGATTAGACGGACTTAAATGAATTTATGGCATGTGCTAATCCTAGAGGGGTTTCATCCATTCCCTTAATTACAGGGCTAAACCCTTTTGCTACTGAGTTTGCGTTTGTACCAATGCTGATGTCAGAGCATAGGATCTGTTGACTATGGAAATTCCCACTCACCCGACATACCAAATGACTAATTGCAAGAAAATATAAAAATCAAGCGAACAGCATTCATCACAAATCTCCCTTCATTAATTATTAAATAAAATATTATACAAATAACTGACTTGTTGCTAATTAAAGTCAGGAAATTTGTCTTCAGTTTTTGTTATGCAAACTCATGCCATCGATGAGTGAAACGCATTGATAAATGCAACTGTGAAATGATTCGTTATTCGTTATCACTCTGTTGTCCATCAATAGAAGATTTGCATTGCTCACAGTTTATACATACAAATATGACGTAAATTGCAGCCATTAATCACCATTCAAACACCTGAAAGAACATGTGTCGAAATTCTCAAAAGGTTGCCTTATAAATCCTCTTCTTAGCAGATGCACACGGCATGAAGGCCAGAAATTGCAAGGCAAAATGAATAGAACGTTTTTCTATTGTGCAAATTATTGTGTTCATCTATAGATTATCGTTGTATGCACCTTTTATGAATGGAAATATTGTTGGGCAACTAAGAGGGAACTTAACGAACTGACTGCTTTAATTATAAGCCATTAGTTTCTTGTCTAAAGTTTAGCTTACATTTATTGCTTAATGTTTTTTTGCACCTGTTGAAATATTCCCAGTAACAGTAAATGCATTCCTAAAGACAATAATTTGGCATTCGGGCGACAGCCAAATGTGCACCAACCACTTTCAAAGCTCACTCCATAGCAGATAGCAGCCAATCAGAGAAGTGGCAAGCCCCTGGTGTTTGCGTAATACACCCAATATTTGATCCAGCGAGTATCGTAAATGTTTACGCAACCAATTTGCGGCATTCGATGCTCCTCGAAAACGCGAGCGCGGGGCAAATCCAAAGTTCGGCGAGTCGCATAAACAAAAGTCCCCCCAAAATACAAAATTGTTTAGCTGTGTAATTAGTGCACGCGAAGGGGTCGATGTTGGTGTGCGGCCAGTGGGTGGGTGTTGGGGCACTGGCACTCAGCCTTGTTTTGCATTGATGATTTGGTGAAATTTCAGTTTGCAACATTCTGCGCTGCTCGGTTGGGGCTTAATGCAGTTATACGGAGAGTGCTTCTTACCATAGCACCACACAGCCCCTGTGCTCCTTTCAAATAAACCCTCGACACACGCACACACACACTGGCTGCCTGCACGCATTTGTGGTATTGTCAAACTATTTGGGATTGGGGCAGGGCATGCCGCATGCGGCGTGAGGAACAGGAGGTTGATTATGCCTTGTTTTGGCACTTAATATGATGAAATATGCAGAATGCCATTAGACCAGGCAACGGGTTTTGGTGGGTAGCGCAGCAGCACATGATTACGGCGCCCCAACCAGCCAGCCAGTCATCCCTCATCGATGTGCCACATGACGAGTGCCCGCAGTGAATTATGCAACAAGATGCCCTTCGTTTCCCTTCCTTTCCATCAGCTTGCAGCTATGTATTTTTGCTGTAAATATTTCCCCTTTTTTTTTTTGAAGGAAACATTTCAAATGTAAATTGCTTTTCTCCACATACTCTTGCCACAAACTTTTGGGGCACAGCTGGAAAATGATTTGCCAATAGCAACATTTGTATGGAAAATATTTCGTTTTATTTTTAAATGAAGCAAAGAAATGTAATAGAAGAGAACACATACGTACTGCATATTTGAATAACTGATTTTTATTTATTTATGGATCAGAGACAAGTTAAACTTTAAGTGAAAAGCTAGCCACAAATTTCTACTAGTAGTACGGCAATTTATTCGTTGCATTTTCGAGTGTTTAATTCAAAATTACGAATCATGTTAAATTGGTTAATCAGGGGCGCCCTCGCGTCAACCATTTTCGCACATAATCAAATGCATGCAACCAATTTATCTGCCTTACCCTCTCCACTTT